ATCTCAATCCTATAGAACATTTATGGGATCAAATTGGTAGGCAGCTTAGAGATCATCAACCCCTACCTGTGTCTTTGAATGATGTAGAAAACTTTGTTCGAGAATTTTGGATTAATATCGATCAAGAACAAATAAGACGTCTGGTTCAAAGTATGGGTCGTCGATGTCAAGCGGTAATAGAGAGTAGGGGAAGAAACACCCGATATTGAATGTTTTTTTTTTTCCACATTATTTTTTCAATAATTTTATTTTTGTTTTGTTAACTTCCGAAACTTTTTCTTGAATAATCCCAAATAAACGCTTTTAACTTCAAACTCCATATTTCATTAAATAACAGAGCTAGAAACGTGAATAAAAAAACAAAATGCTCAGAAAAGATGGGGCTATGTTTTGATTTAGATAGACATCTATTGGTGCAGATGGAAAGTCCCACAGGATGTGACAAAAATTAGGCATCAAACTGGTTTCTTTTAAAACACCCTGTATATGCCTAAAACTTCGATTCAAATGAAAAGTTGTTTTACAGAGTCATTCCTGAAGATTTAAGCTACAATTAAAAAAAAAATATGTCCAAATCGATTCAGCAGTTTCCGAGAAAATTAAATTTGAAATTGTGCCAAATTTTAGTGGTGCGTTAATTTTGATGCGAAGTGTATTTTTGTTTTTTAAATTTTCTGCAACATCCTGTATGAACAAAACTATGTTTCCTGAGAACTATTTTTCAAGCACTACACCTTTTCTATTACCTATCTTTTTTTATATACAGAGTGGCACAAAAAATTTGAGGGGGTGGGAAAATATGAAAAATGACCTTGTACTTTGTAAGGATCATAAGGAGGTTGAAATACATTTTTTTTCAAACATTTCAGAAAAATCTTACGGTTCATGTATCTATCTCAGGGTAACTTTAAGTTGAACTTGAAATCAGTTCATTCAGGTGGCTTAAGATCCACCTTGAATTAAGGGAACTTGTCCCTTAGGCTCGAGATCAATAAAACAGTTTTCTGAACTGATTCCACAATAGCTCTTGGATGGGTGAGAACACCACCAAATAAATTGAAAACTTTTGGTTGGTAACAGGGTTTCGGAAATTCAGACTTCAACTAGTCATATTATATGGAGGCATGTACCAAGTGATCACAATCTAGCAGATATTTGTCTTGTGGAACTAAATGTTCTGAGATAAACAAAACATAATATGTGGTGGTTTGGACCACAATTTTTGTATTTTGCTGATTATCGCAAAATAGGTCCTTTAATGAAGAGTGAAATAGATAATTCATTCAATATATTATTAAAATACGTCCAGTATATGAATCTTTTTCTTTGGACATTGTTCAGATAAAAACCACGAACTTAAATTCTAGCAGTAAAATTCTAAATTTAAACCCGTTTATTGATGATTTTGGGCTGTTAAGAGTCGGAGGTCGATTATCAAATGCTAAGTTTAGTTTTGAGAAAACACATCCATTACTTTTGTCCCCAAAACTTCACCTTACTCGATTAATTTTAGAACATGAGCATGTTAGGTTGTTTCACTGCGGACCTCAGCATTTATCATTTATTAGCTTCTGTACGTGAAAGGTATTAGCCGGTGTCAGGTCGATCTTTGTGCAAACAAATTGTACGAAAATGTCTCAGATGCTTTAAGTATAGCCCAAGAATGTTGAAGCCTATTATGGGAAGCATACCTGAAGAGCGCCTTTTACCAAATCATCCATTTGATATTGTAGGGGTAGATTATGCAGGTCCTTTTTTGCTAAAGAATAAAAGTGGCAGAGGTGCCAAAGTATCGAAGTCCTATGTTTCACTTTACGTTTGCTTTTTGACCAAGGCAGTCCACTTAGAATTAGTAACTGACCTCAGTAAGGAGACGTTTTCATTTCATAGATTTGCTTCACGAAAAGGTAAACCATCAAAGGTTTTTTCTGATATCGGGACTAATTTTGTTGCAGCCAGTTCGGAATTGAAAGAGCTTGGACGATATTTTCGTGTTGGTAACGGCTCTCCTGTTATTCTCTGCTGCGCACTGGAGTATAGCATAGACCTCTGCCCAGGTACGAAATCTGTATGTTTTGTTGGGACTCATGATATTTAACACTTCTCTATCCACCCATATTGTTGTTCGGTCTAGAGCGTCTCAAATTCGCTCCCTAACTGTAGAGTTGAATTTGCTCCGTGAGATGATAACTATGTTGTCAGCATATCTAAGACAGTGTCAGCTAAACAGACCGTCCGCCACTAGGTTCCACAGGAGTGGGGATAATACCCCACCATGTGGGCATTCCCTGTACACTCAGGACGCCAGTGTTTCCTCTGCGACGGTGGTTTGGTTTCTACCATTCTTTCCTTTAGCATTGAGTTGATCCACACACAGCCAGTTGCCTCAATTCCCTTATGATTAAGAGATCTGGTTATTGCATCGAAGGAAGTATCTATTGTCAAAAGCTCTATGTCCAAAAAAACTTCCCTGTTTTCCAATGTGTTCTCTACTACACTGAAAAAACTTAGCTATAAATATGACTGCAACTTCTTTATTATGAAGTAGTTGGAACTTCGGATATGAGGTAAGTTATGAGTCTTTACTATGAAGACGTGTTGCAGTTGAAATTCTCAAAGTACCTTGAGCTTATCTTAATTCCATTGAGAGCTTAAGATAACATCATCCTGCATTAATAGTCAAGTCATCCTGACTTTCTTAAAAATATACCTGCATTTTCTATTGATATTGAAGATTTAGCATGTATTGCTGGAAACTTTATGATATAAATCAGCGCTACATAGACTTCAACTCATAATAAAAGTTGTAACTTTGGATGTTGAATGATAAACAAAGAATATTTTTTCATAGTTTTATTACAAAAAATGTAGGTACCTATGCAAATTATCTAGAACAGATCTCTTTGGTGTTGAAGCAACACTGATAGATGATGCCAGAAGTTCTTCAATGAGACTTACGCTGTTGGAATTCAATTTACAAATTATAAAAATGAATTAATCATAAATGAATAAACATATGGGTACTAAAACTTATACTGGGTTATGTGTTATAATTATTATTATCATACTCTTCTTGGAAACACTCGCGGAAATTATTGTCATTATTTGTTGTGTTTTCGGTGGTCGTTGAAATAGAGTAGGTTTTGCCCTTGATATCTACTAGTTCTATCTAGAACATTGCAGAATAAGATGAAGTCATTGACGAACATACTTTTATTCATAATTTAAATACTCACCAATGATACTTCAGCTTGTTCTGATGGTAAGGTGGAAATATTGAGTGTCGCATCAATAATGGGAAGATTAGGAGAAAGATTTTTTTCTCTAGGCGTTGTTCTTCTCTAGATGTTGTTTTTCTCTGATTTCCGTCAATTTTCTCACCATTACGAATCTTTCCCCTAATTTTGGTAAAAGTTTCGCAATGGCGTCGGAGTCGAGAAACAGCAAAACTTCTGGGGTAATGGCTTCTTCTAAAATACCAAAGAAAGAATAAAATAAAGTACCTATTTATAATTTAAGTAAGGATTCTATTTATAATGCTACAAACTGCAATTCAATATAACAGTTTGAAGCTTACATTATGTTAAGGACAATCTCTTCATTATTAAGTAACAAAAAATGAATATCGTGTATGGGAAAATGATGCTTATTGGGATGCCTTCAAAATGGGTTTTCAGGTTACTGTTAACTGTTATCTTCTGTTAATGATTATACTAATGGCATAATGCACATATACCTAAATACCTACTAAAATAATAAAATGTAAATTATTATTATATATATAAGGACTTACCTTCAAAATTTCCTAAGTGGTGCCCCAGATCTATCTCTCCAAGAAACTCTTTGCATGCTATTTTTATATTTTTTCTTTGAAAAAATATCTCGAATCTACGATTTTGGAATAATTAGAACACAAATTGTAGGCTCGCGAAGGGTAAAAAATATAGACTGATGAAGATGGTTTTTGTTGGAAGACGTTGGGCGGTACCTTACCGTGTGACCTTGTGCCAGCATCGACACAACGAAACGTTTGGGCCAATGTTAAGGCTATTCACATGGAACTAAATTCTCTATCCCATCTCTTTTACCTTTTCAATGGCTGTTGAAGTAACAACTCGAGGATTTAATATAATCGATAATATTCATAATATTAAAGAAAGCATGTGCTTAAATGTATCCCAGTCCTTAAAAATGTATTCATAAGAAAAAGTTTCTTAACAATAAAGACATGTGTCTTGATATTTATCTGGAATGATCAACCCCTACTTGACTTAAATATTAAGAAAATTTCTATACTGTTATGAAGAGCTTCGTAACACCAAATACCGTTCTTAATTCGCAAGACTAGTCTCTTGAATAGTATAATGCTGGCCTCAAAGTCACGTAGGACTTGAGTTTTAATGCTGACTTTTTTCAGTGTATGCTGACCAGCTGGTGAAGCGCTGTTTCTGTTGACATCCCTGTTGGATACGCATACTGGTCTGAGTGTAGTGGTCGGCTTGCCAACACACCGTCGCTAATGTGCCTATCCACAAGTTCTTCCAGTGTCTTAAGCTCAAATGACGTAAGACTAATAAGTCTTAAGGACTTTAGTCTAATCAAATGTAGAAAATAGAAGAAAGTTCTGGTGCAGTTTTGAAATTGAGTTTGTATATGTTTTTTCGGTTGCTTTACACGAATATCAAGTTTGCCAAGAAGAAATTTGACCGGAAGTGGGTTTTATGAAGGAAAATCCCTCAAAAAAGTGCCTTTTTACAGTTTTTATCAAATAACTGGAAACCTATTTAGTTTGGTAAATATTGATTTTATATAAAATGAAAGAGTATAAAATTTCCTACATTTTATTTTTGCCGAGTTTTTTTCTAAGGATCAACGGTTCAGCCGTGATGAGGACGCATAGTTGGGTGTATCTTAACCAACGTGTCCTTTTCTTTGAAGGCCCTGGCTCTTCATCGGCATCTACAATATAAAAACAGACAAACGAAATTACATCTTGTGGTTTATTTATTCTCAGTTACAACTGATACCTCTAGTATTTTCTCGTCTTCATTCATTGGTTCAGTGATTAAGAAATCCAACTCCAATTCATTTCTCATTGAAGGCACTGGCTTTTTATCGTCATCTATACAATATCGAAGAAGACAAAGAAAATGGAATTTAATATTCTTATTTGTCATTGATCATTTTTGACTGATACCTTGTATAATTTCCTCGTCTTCTTTCATGGGTTCAGTGACTGAGAAATCCAACTCCAATTCATTCATCGCTCGTTTTCGTAATTCAAGCACAAGATATTGCAGCTTACAGTCACAACTTCTTTGAAAATTTGTAGTGCACTTAGACGAGACAAGCTTCAATAAATCTGGGGGAGCAGGTGGTAACAAGCTAGCCACAGGGCAAGACCAGTTTTTGAGCTTTTCCATTCCCACTCTTCCGGGTTTTTTCCGCCACCCAACCATTGCTGAACCTAATAATAGTGAGTGTTGTCGCACTGCAGCCGCAGATGGTGGTAATGATGCGATGTTTGCCTTGAGCTTAAAAGCAGATTTATTATAGCAAACATATATGTCAAATGATTGAGCGATGACAGAGTTTTCCACTGTATCAATATAGTGAAACCAGAAAACGTTTACCAGCGTCAGCGATCATATTCTGAGTAGCATTGGACTCTTTAAATAATTTGATACTGTCAGCAAGATAAGGGTTTCTTCTCAGGGTATGAAGGAACTTTAGTTTTCCTTCATTGTACAATGCCGATGTTGTATCACATCCACCCATTGCGTGTAAGAACAGAATATTATCTGCGATTAATATGTCACTTATAGCATCAGTAGGAGAGAATGTAACTGAAGAGACCTTGTTCTTCCCAGGTTTCAAAAAGAGAACATTTGCGGTTTTGCACAGACCTATCAAAAGTACCAAGAGGTACTCCTCACCAACTATAATCACCGTGTCATTGGTTGGAGCCAGTTTCAGAGCTGTGTTCATTATCAGGGTATCAGCATCTTCTTTCGCCTGCTTGCAAGAAATTCCTGCCGAAGTTTAGCAAGGAATCTCTCTTTTGACATCATTGTATGATCAAAGACTGTCAAAGAGCATGTCAGCTGAAACCAGTTTCCTTGATGTGTTAATACACTCTGCTCTTTTTGTATCACCGTTTAGGCCTTCAGGGTACCCATCAAAAACAATTACTGCGTTTGATTCATATTTTGATAAGACATATTGTACGTAATTGTCACAAATCGGAGAAAATGTTTGATTCATGGTCCAGAGTACCCTATGCAAGAAACTCGCCATCTATGACGTATTGAACTTGGTCACTTAACTGCTTGCTTGTTAGGGATTTGAATGCTTTATACAGAGTAGGCTTGGGTTCCTTTTCGTAAAATAATGTCAAGGAAAAAGGCCCTAGATCGTAACTCAAAAATTCCTCGAGCTGCTCCTCTGAATGTTTGGCAATGGTCATTTTTTGGAAAAGACTTGTTGGATTGATAGGTATTAGTTCGTTGTGTATTCGTATCGCACTAGTCATTACTGCTAGAGGTTGCACTAGGTCATTCCTTTTGAATTTAACAGTTCCGAAGTCACCACCGACAATATTATTAATGCCTTTTCTGCCCAAATCCCAAGTTTTATGGCAGTTAATTCGATCGTCAACCAAAATACCATTGCTGATTGAATATAAATCAGGATTTTCAGGGAAAGGAAAATGCTGCAAGAGCCATTTATACATCATGATCTCATCCTTGTTGTCTTGTTTAACTTTTGAGTCCTTCAGTGCTGTTATAATGACTGAAATGTAATCGCAAGGTAATTTTCGATCTGTTCACAAAAATTTTGCACCTTCTCCTACACCACGACCGTGTGTGAGACCTCCATGAAGTTTCATATTCTTCATAAGAAACTGCTCGATGGTCATGTCAGTTCAAGTTCCAAGCCAAAAAGTCAGATGGTCGAACTGTGAAAAAACCATAGGTACTTAATTTTTTAAATTCTTCGACGGACATTGTTTACCTCAAATTCAGCATATCTGTTTATCATCTTCATTTCAATCTTCATAAGTGCAACCTGGGCTAAAAAGTGAGCTCTTACAGCTCTGTAGTAAGCCTGCCTTGTCATGTTTTTTTCTATGGAATTTAATCCTTCAGACCACTGCCGTCCATTATGTGACCTATAGACCCCAAAAAGGTATCATCAGTAAGTGGAATCCTCCTAATCTAAGAACCAAATTATGCAGTCTGGAGTCTGTGCAATTAGAAATAATGAATCGCGCCTTCAAGTAGAGTGGTTGATCGAAAGCCACTATACATATTTTCTGACCATTTGGTTTACAATTATATCTGCAGCTTCCAATAAAGGCGTAAATATTGTATCGTAATCTGTTGGAAGGGCATTTATAAAAGGAAGATGAGCAGCAAATGTTTTTTCAAAAACGAGATCTGTCGTAGCTTGCTCCATAAGTAAATTCCAACCTGGTACGGCGGGAAAGCCTCTAAACTTGCCATAAAGCCATTTCAGATGTACATGGAAAGACAGTTTCGGATTTAGAAAAATTCTTACTGAGGTCTTGAATCTTAACTTGCTTTAGTCTTTCACTATGCTCTGCAGGCTCAAAATGTTTTAGGCTCACAGCCCCGAAATTAACAACAATCGTACTTATTGGTATATTTGTCAATCTTGAAATTCTGTTATCTGCAGGTACTGCAGTTGCTGGAGCTACCGTGTAAATTCCACCCATTACATGGAAAGTGTTGTATCCATCGATTGTTTGACTATTGAAATCGGCATTGTCATAAACAAACTGATAAAACCTGCCTTGATTCATTTTTACTTCTGGTTTCATGGCAGATGATATTTCAAAATATACCGTTTCCGAGTACAAGCTGTAAAATCCTATAGAATTTAATGCATCTAGAAGCTTCCGGGAACCACATTTCTAATTATCAAATGTCGGTAACCTAACTTGCACAAAAACGAAATGGACTTTACCGAAATGATAATACTTATTCGTCCATTTCTGAATGTTCCCGCGTTTACTCTTTACAATCAGAGTATCCAAAAACATTTAAGTCAAGAGTCAAGTGTTTCAGGAACAGGGGCTTAACTCTCTTCAATAAAACAATCTGGTAGAGGGTAATCTGTTGTATTGTATACCTGTGTTCTGATACCTTCGCATATAATCTTTGCTGCGGCTTCAACAATTCGAAGCCTTTCTTTTTGTTAAGGCACATGTTTTCTGATACCTCCCAGGAGTTAGCCAATATCTTCTCTCCTGTGTTTTTTAAACATACAAGTCTTTTTCGTTTTAATGCTCGCAAAGAGAATATCATCTCCACATTTTTCTATCCTCCTCTTCGGTAGTCCAAAAAGGTTTGTTCTTCATTCCTCAAAGACTTTACCTAAAACAATGTATAAATTCTTATTAACTAAACATGGCGTTTATATAAATAGTTAATTTCAAAACATGGACAAATATTTAGCGATTGTCTATTGTAATAATAATTAATAGCATTGTTTTGCCGGCAAAATCGAGTATGATAATTTTAGAAAAAAAGCTCCATGCGAGTAAACATACAAATCAGATATTTTATCTTGCCAATCAAATTGCTGATGAAATTTCCTGTCGCAATTGCGAAAGTTAACTTTTTCCCGATTTTGTTTCAATTTAAATCGTTATTAGAATCTCGAGATTATAAGATGCACTTTTTAAGAGAGCGGTCTCACAAAACTGGTTAGATGGAGCGAGCTCAAAAAGCAATTTCTTGATTGGCAAAAGCTTAATATTATTACACGACGAGACCCGATTCTCGTTCTCCTTGGATTTAAAAAGTTCGCGGAAGCTTGAGAAACTACGTCTGTTTTTGGGGTTTGGAAAATTTACCTTTTGTAGATCACTGTGTGTTTTTATTTGAACACAAATGCTATTATTAATTTATATTGTTATAAGTTGACTCATGGACAATGTCAAAATGTAGTAAAACTGATTAGATTAGTCCTAAGATGTTTTAGTAGCTATTTATATTAATATTCAAAAAAAAATGATTAAAGTGTGTAATAAGTAGGACACCATGGTATACATTGAAATTTATAATACTTTTCATAGATAAGGTTATCAGTGCTTGAGGAGCTTATGTCCTTAAAGCGAGGGACCAGAGATCAACGAAAGATCAATTTTTCTCGCTTGATAATAAGTTCAGTGGCGTTCACAACTGGCATGGAAAATAATAAATTACATTATCAATTAATTAGTCTCCTTCAGATAACCATTGTAAATTCCTAGAATGTTTAAAGCGATATCTAAAGTATAGTTGAGACAACTTGATGAACTTTTCGAGTGTTTAGTTATATCAAGAGTCACTTTCTAAATTTTTTAAAATTCTCCAGTTATCTGAAAATATAAAACGTAGCGTCCGAATTTTTCAAAATTACTTTTACAGTCTTTGAAACATAATCTCCTGAGTAGGTATCTGAAGTCATTTTTCAATCAGTCAGATGTTCGAGAACGAACGTTTTACAAAATTTCTACAAAGTTTTGATCTCAGTCAGACTGTCAGAAAATGACCTCCACATTCCTGTTATAGAAGAAGAAGTAGAAGAACCAATTCTGATTTAGGGTGAGCTTCAATGCTTCTCCTCTAGTACCAATTAAGCTTTACACGAAGGTCAAAAAATGAGCTTTTCAGATTCAACTCTAGTTCGGAAATGTAAAAAATTAGAGTTTATCCAACAATAAGATTTAGATGCTTCTCAGTTTGATCTCAGCTCTGAACGAAATTTAAAAATGAGCAACTGTCACCACTCCAGCTCAACTTTGACTTTGGAATGGTAAAGACTTAGAATTCACTACTTTGGCTTTTACTCTTAATATTCTGATAAATTTTAGCTTCTGTAGCTCAACTTAAAAATTAAAATATTCTATCAGTTCACTGATCTATAGGAGAACCGTAAATAAAATTATCATCTTGCTCTAGTTCCTATTCGCTTCAATGAGGGTTCAAAGGGTTTCCCAAACCGATGTAGGTCAGCTTCAATTCTTGAACTGATCAGAAATCAGAGTTACTATACACTTTACGAAAGCCTGGAATAAAATCTACTAATGAGCTTCTTAAACTGCTGTAGCTCAACTTAAACCTTAGAATAGTTACAAATTGAAGTTGACTTTTCTAAGAGAGTCCGGAAATGAAACATCTTTCACCTAAAACGTTCGATACATAATGCACACAATCAAAAATCCATAAACCATCCATTAAATTTCCATACTAACAATTATTGTCAATATTTCATGCGGTTAACTGCATTATTTACCAGGAAAAAAAATCCTCCGTATATAAATTAACCCGACCGTAATGACCCATCATTTGCTATCGGAAAAAATGATGGGCGTTTCGTGCACTAACTAACCAACCGGAGGAGGGAAATTCTAGATTGCAATAATGAAAATGATCTAATTAAAAGCCAACATCATCGAGTGTAAATATCAAACACATTAACCACATGTCTTAATGTACATAAAGGACAAAACTTCGTCCACAGCAGAGTTTATAATATATTATGCTGTTCCATTGACGTGCATGTAGGTACACTTTTTTTTCAAATTTTATTGAATTTAATTTGTAAATTGTGCAAGATTACTACAGTCACGGTCGGTCGTACCGTTTTGCCTTCTTTTTTGAAAGTTATTAGATACTTAATAATGGAAAGTGAATAATATTGTGATGTTACAATATTTATAAAAACTTTTCGGCTCTTTGACTCGGGTAGTTTGATTTAATTTATTGAGATTCAGATAAGCAACTTAAAATATAGGCATATACGGTTACTAAACTTTGTTTTAGGATTTATTTATGACATGGATAAGTTTCTGATTAGTTGGTGTAGATTATAGATAAGAAGCTCTATTTTCTAAATAAAAATAATGGGTTGGCATGATTGGATAAAGCAACTAAAAATAGAATTTTCTGCACCCTTAGGTACTTTTGAAAAACTTG